CAAATTATTGGATGGGAAAGCTCTCCAAGGATCCATATTTAAGTACTAGCCAATGGAAACTATTCCTTGAATTTGATTTGTGAATTAAGAAAGCTCTTTTTGTTTCAGCATACTATTAGTTGATACAGACACCTGGAGCAATTGCAGCCCTAGTTAGGTGTTATGAAAAGTAATTAAAAAAGCTCTTTTCTAATATGACTTGTATCATTATTTGAGGCATACAATTTAATATTTTTCATGTTTTTATATTCTTGTTTTTGTGATATTGCAAGGCACCAAGACTGATTGATAGTTATGTGGGTGGCATATAAACTAATTAAATAAATAGACAAATAAATAAATATAGCTCTCTAAGTGTTGATGCATACACTGAGAAAGTACCTTCATGCAGGCATTTATACATGCATAGTCCTGCTTCATAGAGAATGTCTGCTATGGAGGCAGACACCTGGAAGATAAATTCAATAGTGCGTGTGATTATTTGGCTCAGACTTATTATTTCTTACATTTTAATTCAATTGCTTTGTATGTACTCTGATGAACGATACTGTGCATGTTCATTCAGAAATAAATTTTGAATGGAATTGAGTTGAATTAAACTTTATTTGGCCAAGTGTGATTTTGACACACAATTTGTCTCTGATAAAAAAGCACTCGATACAGGGGTGAAATGCTCCCGGTTCGGACCGGCTCGGGCGAGTAGGTAGCGATGGCGGTGGGCAGTTCGGAAAACCGGTAGCAAAAATCCCTGCCCCCACCCCACCCCCCATGCCCAGCTGAGCCGCGTGATCATCAGAGCCTTTTTTTTCCTTTTAAATGGCTCTGACCAGCCAAGCTCTGACGATCCCAGCTGACTTGATTGCTAATCAGGCAACTCAGCTTGGATCGCCAGAGCCATGTAAAAGAAAAAAAAAGTTTGTTTCCCCCCACCCCCAGCCTCCAGCTTGCTTACCTTTTAGCTGCTGGTTGCAACACTGTAATACTTGCAATCCATTGCGTCAGCAAGCAACTGAATCTCCCTGCCTGCAATCAAGCTCATCGGTGAGCAGCTCTTTCTGCCTGCCTGCCTTCCTGCCTAGACTTGTGGACTTCAACTCCCAGCAAAGCTGGCTGAGGAATCCTGGGAATTGAAGTCCACAAGTTTTAAAGTTGCCAAGGTTGGAGACCCCTGTTCTATTGGGTAAGTTTTTTTCCCCTTTGGGAGCTTTAAAAAAAATAGTTAATTGGGGTTGTTTTTAGTTGTTCTTTTTTAGACCTAGCCATTTAAAGTTTAGGAAGTTTTAAATTTAGCTTTCATATAAAAATAAAATAAAATAATATTTGTGCAGCTTTCTGAGATTTAGTGTGTTTCTGTAGTATTTCACTCTAACTACACAAACACACAAAATCTCACAAAGCTGTATGTGGAATTTTGTGTGTGTAAAGTGTGAAAGTTGGCTTTTTGGGCTTTTTGTGGCTGTGTGAGGTTCCTGCTTGTTGCGGGACCATTTTGGGTCTAGCACAGCTGCTTTTACATTGTGGGTGAGCCAGTTGTGTTGTGTTGTGTTTTGTAGGTTAAAAAAGGGCAAAGAAGTGACATTGACTTGGCCATGCCCACCCAGTCACCTTATCACCAAGCCACACCCACTAATTAAGCCACACCCACAGAACCGGTAGCAAAAAAATTTAGATTTCACCCCGACTCGATATACATGCAAAGCAACAGAATAATAATAGTCATTATCATCATTATCATCATCATCATCATCATACCAAGAAAAGTGGGGAGTAAATATACATAGACATTAGATAGCACTGTAAGAATTAGGTGTTTAGCCAAGTAATGGCACGGGGTGGGGGGTGGGCGGGACTGTCCCTGTGTTTAGTTGTTTTGGCCTGCACTGCTCTATAGCACCGAACTGAGGGGAGACGTTGAAACAGTTTATGTCCAGGATGAGGATCTGCTGATATTTTCTTAACCTTCCTTCTGAACTGTACAATATACAGGTCTTCTATGGAAGGCAGGCTGGTTGAAATTGTTCTTTCTGCAGTCTTAACTATCTGTTGGAGTCTGTACCTGTCCTGTTTGGTTGCTGTACCAAACCAGACAGTTATAGAAGTACAAATGGCAGGCTCAATAATTCCTCTGTAGAACTGTATCAACAGCTCCTGGGGAAGCCTGAACTTCCTAAGTTAATGCAGGAAGAACATTCTTTTGCCATTTTAATTGGAACTTACATCAACAAATAAATTGTGCCTTTTAAATTGGAATATACACCAAGATAAATAGACATTCAACATACAACTGCAGCAGGAATATTTTCATTGATATCTCTGAGATCTACAATATATATGATTTGGCTCAAAGTATTTGCCTTAACATTTGAAAATTATTACTACTAACAGGTTTTTTTGGATAAAAGGTTCTGACCAAATATGGGTGAATGCTTTAGATTATTTGTCTAAAGGATTTTGGGAGGGAGGGAGGAAGGAAGGGAGGGAGGGAGGGAGGGAGGTTTTCCAACATTTACTTCCAGTTTCCCACAAGAAATCTGAATGAGGAAGCCAACAGGAGGCTGGAAGTCACTCCCACTCCCATTGATTTTTTTTTGCCTGCCCACGGTCATTCTATGTCTCTGTTTTGGTAAATATCTCTGAAATGATGACCCAATAGTCATAGTTTGTCTAGTTTTAAATTAATTTATGTTTCAGAGATAGGAATGCACCAGTCTTATGTAATACTTTGAATCAGCATGATGGTACTTATAACAATGTGGAAAAAATATTGAGACTACTCTTCAACCGATTTTGTGTATTCTAAACAATTGAAAGCATTAAGGTGCTCAAATAGTTTTCAGTACATAGTTATTGCCTTCAGGTTTAATCTTTGAAAGATGAGTAGAATGTATCAGAAAATGCAATATCTTGTTACCAACTAAGTTTAGTGACAAGAATGTCTATTATTCTGTATCATAAACATTTCAGCTTGTCAGGCAAGGAGAAGGAAAACTGTTTCATCTCACCAGATCTGTAGGTGAAGATGATAAATTGACATCTGAAGTAGCCTGGTAGGCATTCAAAGCTGTTGTGTTGTCAAAGTACCTTCTTGTTGGTATTGCCAACATAGACAAGTTAATTCTTCAGAACGTTAAACCATTTTTATGCTATGGAGCATAGATGTCAGATATTGGTATCACTAAAACTACTAGGGCCCACTTCCAAAGTAGTAAACAACATTAAAGCCTATTTGAATGGTAAAAGCCCACCTTGTGAGATGAGAGTATGCATTACCATCCACATTGTCCCAGGATCTTTCTTCTGAGAAAGATATTGCAGCCTGAGCAGTTCCATGTTGTAAGGAAGTTGTATCTCATTTGGAGGAAGGACATTATAGACCACAAATCCCGCTAAAGCACAGGTAGCATTTGAAATCACTTAGCTCAGTATATCTTCTTCTGATATACAAAGCCATAATGAGAGGCATTTGGCCCTTTCCCAAACCAATCTCTTGATATAGCCTTTGGACACTGGAGAAGACTGTCCAACCAAAGAGTCTTCATGGCACTGGACAGCATCCTTAATGGTGAACCCTGATGGGCACAGCCAGAAACCCATTTTTTTAGATGATGGAGAAGATCAAAGGATTTACACAACATGTTTTAATTACTTTTAGAGTTTTCTCTCAAATAAACTCTAACATTTCACATTTAGACAGAACCTTAAAGCGTCTCATACTGCCTTCCATAAATGTGGCACAGCTACCACAGGCTTCAGTATGTAATTTAGTAACAGTTTTCTCACACTTGGCCTCATATGAAATTAGTAGCAGATTTTACTTTTATGGTGAGCAGATTGTTCACATTCTGAGAATGCACTGCAATTTTTCCTGCAATAAAACAATTCATATATTTTGTTTTTTTTAAAAAAATAAATTTCTTCCCAGAGGGCAATCAATGTAACTAGATATAACTTTATTTAAGTTGTAAGTCTTGGCTGATGCATCAAGCCATTTTGTTTTCATGATAACACAAACCTCTTCTATCAATCAACCATACAGCATTATAGTAAGGCAGGGGGGAAAATGCACAATGTCCTAATGTGATTTGCTTTTGAAATTAATATGGATGGAGCAAATTATAATCCATAAATGAATACTTAAATACCTGTGAGGCAGGGGTGAAATTCAGCAGGTTCTGGAGAACCAGTAGTGGAAATTTTGAGTAGTTCAGAGAACCGGCAAATAGCACCTCTGGCTGGCCCCAGAGTGGAGTGGGAATGGAGATTTTCCAGTATCCTTCCCCTGGAGTGACTGGGAATAGAGATTTTGCAGTATCCTTCCCTTGCCATGCCCACCAAGCCACGCCATGCCCACCAAGCCATGCCCACAGAACCAGTAGTAAAAAAAAATTGAATTCCACCACTGCTGTAATGCTAACATTACAGTCAAAGTAGCAACTGTAATGAACAAACAATTTCTCCATGGTTAGTTTAATCAAATATCTTACCATTTGGGTTCTTTTGACTGTCTGTCTGTCTACCTATCTTTCTGATTGTGAGTACTTGACTTACAAGTGCATTTTAAGCAAATTAAATTTTACTGGCAATGTTTAGGGAAAATTTGAATAAGGAATAACAAAAATGCTAATAATAAGAAATGCACCTTTATGTATCTGTTTATGTGTTGAAGGATATGTGAATCAGAACAGCTGGAGTGCAAACAGCTGGACTGTGAATGATTTTTTTTTCTTTTTTGCTGATCAGGGCGTGTACTCATAATTCTGAATGCTGTCAAGAGAAAAAGTTGTTCTTCTTAGAAAGTTTAAATTAACAATACAGCAAGATCAACCCAGGATTGAACAATTTAAGGAAAATGAACAAAAATACACAAACAAGCTGATTTCTTCCAAAGTTAAAATCTCCAAAAAACTTAATCTTTTAACAAGAGATATATGGATGAAATAAGAGTGGGAACAAAATGCAGCAGCCATCAACTCACCACCTGTGTATTTTATTTCTTTCAGCTGTCGCTTGGATTTTGTTATGTATTTGCACTGGGGCTACGGAAATAGGTAAGATTACTGAACTTTTAAAATGTGGTCATAACAGGGAGTAGTGGGAGATGATGAGGCTAAATTGCAAAAAAATAATTAACTGTGGTAGCTTTGCCAGAAACGCATATCATATTTCAGAAGTCTGGGGGGAAAATGGATTTTAGCCCTGAATAAGGAAGAAGTGGATTGAGATAGTAATGCTGTGGATTTTGAACTAAATATGTCATACAGTTCAGTCAATGGATTACCTACTATTGTTGAGAACATGACTGTGTGTAGATGTCATAGTAAACAAAATACTAACCACTCAGAAATAAGATATTTTTAAGCACACAAGTGCAGCTACCTGAAAAGTATTAAGATAAGGAAAGATCAACCATTCAAAAGGTAATATATCTGCAGATACCGATCATTTGAAAACATCTGCAAAATGGATTGCATATAACAGGAACAAAACAATGGCAACAGGTAAACCATATGTGAGAAAGCATTGCAGTACAAAAATGTTTTCTATAAAGGCATCCATATGGTTTCTAGCTACCAATGCTCTCCATGTACAGACATTACAGAGTGGCTGATAAGAGCTGGACCTGATATTTCTTATTGCTAATATGACACAGGATATGCTTTTTATTAAAAAAAAAAAAAAAGAAATTCAGCAGCAGTGGTTAATCAGTACGGTTACAGCTTATCTTGGAAAGCTGCCCACAATTGAAACGGGGTGAAAGAAAATCTCCAAAGATTAGACTTTCTGCTGGTTTGAGATGTTATGATTTGGTGATATCTCTTAGGCACATATAAAGAAAGGATCATTTGAAGCAGAGCTCACTACAACATCAAAGAGGCAACTATACAAGATTTTTTTAGGGCTAAAAACAAAGCAAGCGAGTATATTTATTTGATCTTCCAGTAATTTCTAATTTCTTTTGTGGAAAGTTAAGAAATATAAGTGCATATTTATCTAGAACAGTATAAAAGACATCAAGGGGAAATGACCTTTTAATATCTGGAGGCAACTGTTTTGTTGGAGAGTTATAATCAATGTACACAATATTTATAGCTATTGAAAAAGAAATGCCCCCAAGCATATATTAATAAGCTGATAAAATACAGCAGGTGAGTATTATGAAAGAATTATTTTAAAAAAGCAATTGTTTTTCTTTCTCTCATTTCTTACTGCATACTCCACTCAATTCTTTTGAAGACATTTACATTGTGGCAGATTGTGTTATGACATTATGAAGATATTAACAAAACCATATGGTGTTTGCTTTTATATTCTGATAACAAATCTGCTAATTCCACAGTGGATAGGGGATGTGCAACCAGGAAGCTGCCTGAAGGTATCTAATTAAGGAGAAGAGAAAGTCTTAAAAGAGCAAGAAAGATCGTTCTCTTTGTGATTTTCTTTCTTTCTATTTGCAAGGATATATTGCAGTTCCAATTAAAGGAACTTTCATCGGTTTGTTTGTTGGTTTGAATTGCACTTTCATGTTTCTTGTAAGGAAGATACATGAAAGGATTGCCAGCAGTATCCATAGCTGCCTTGTAGTTGTTGCTTATGAATTAAGTTAAAGGCACAAAAATAAAAGTTACCGAGAACTCAAATGTTACTTTTGGCAAAGAACATGGAACTAAGAATGTATCACCATACACTCCCACATTTCGTTATGCACATCTGTCAAAAGTCTTTGGAGAGATTTCAAGGAAACATTCTCAGTTGGTAAGCAATTAAGGAGAAGTTGTAGAATCAACTGTTCTTCCATCCTCCTTCCGAAATTATAATTCTGCCTGTGAACAAACTATAAAAATCCATTCATCTCATTGACTTTCCTCGGCCAATTGTATGTTATATTTTAATTTGGACATCATACCGATATTGCTGTCCCTACCAAAAGATTTCACAAGAGCAGGAGAGTTGGACTAGAAGACCTCCAAGGCTCCTTTCACCTCTGTTACTCAGTATTCTGTATGTTAAGGAAAGACCAAAGTATTTTGATAAAACTAAATAATTTTCCAGAATCCAGAGGGTAGATGCTTGTGTTCCAGGGATGGGTTCTAATTTTTTTTACTATCAGTTCTGTGGGCGTGGCTTATTTTGTGAGCATGGCTTGATGGTCATGTGACAATTATTTAGGATTTAGCAGAGGTACTGGTCTACCAGGCTTTTAACTGCTTGCAGAGCTGTACCGATCTACCTATTTATTTTTGCAGGCACTGATCTACTCAAGTATTTTTGCAGGCACTCGTCTACCCATTTATTTTTGCAGGCACTCGTCTACTCATTTATTTTCTTTTAACACTGATCAGCTGTAGGGCAGCCCTTTGAAGCCTCACGGCAAGAGTTTAAACAGTTGTTTTCCCTCTAGCCATCAGCTGGGACTCAAGAGGCAGCAATAGATTGGGAGTGGGGCCAAATAAAAGGTAAGAATAACGCGGGGGGAGGTGGGGGAGCAGAACTGGTTTGGTGATGTCATATCATCACCGCTACCAGCTCGACGGAACCAGGCCGAACCGGGAAGAACCCACCACTGTTGTGTTCCCTGATATAGATGGCTTATGTGAAGAACCAGTCATAAACAGAAGCAGCATGAAAATTTGGTTCCTTGAGAGAAATCCAGACTAGATTTGCTCTGCTTTGACTATATGATGTTTTATTGTTCACCTATGTCTCTATTGCTTAACAGAGATTTAAAAAAAGATGCACTGCAGCTTTGCAACACCAATGCAAATGTACCTTTTTTCCTGAAGAGCATATATACAGATACCTATGCACAATATGGCAAAAAAAGTGTGAACGTACTACTGCACAGTGTTTTCAAGTCATTTTCCTTTTATTTAAGAGCTTCATGTTACATTTTGTTCAAAGGATGTGGAGACAAGCAATGCCAAAATACACAGCCATTTTCTCAGTCATAATGCAAAAATTCATTTGCACAATGAATCAGAATTCTCTTTTTCTATATCTTTTCAGATTTTCTGAAGCCTGAATTTTCAAACTTTTGATTTCGATTTAATTTAATCTAAATATTTTAATAAATTACATCACAGTTGGAGAACTTGTTTTTCATTTTTTATGTAAAAATGAAAGAACAGAAAGCCATATACTATTGATAGTCTTTTAAAAAATCAGCTGTTCATACTCTGTTTGCCTATATTGTGAATAGCTATGAGAAGAGAAAAAACTTTCCAGGTACACAAACCAATGGAATTGAAATTATACTTTCCAATATACAGGGTGTTCCAAAAATCAGGCTCTATAGACCTATCACAATATTCATTCATTTATTCATTCATTTATTTATATCCCATCTTTATTTTTTAACAAATATCTCAAGGTGGCTAACACATCCAACACACTTTCCTTCTTCTATTTTCTACACAACAACAACTCTGTGAAGTGTGTTGTGCTGGATGACATAAAATCATCCAGCTGGCTTTCATTGCTAAAGCAGCACTTGAACTCATGGTCTCTTGCTTTCTAGACTGGTGCCTTAACCAAGATGGCTTTCTCAGCAAAAATGGGATGTTCAAAGGTCATGTATCAAGTGAATAAGTGTTTAGAAGAAAATGGGAACCACATTGAACAGGGGCCTGATGTTTAGTACACTCTGTGCATTCCCCATCCCTTATACACTTGAGCCCAAGTGAAAGGTCCCAATACCTCTCCAGTATGTTTATGATTGGAGACACTTGATTGCCTGTTTTGCCTAAATAATTTTCTCCTTGTTCACCAATATAATTTTATTTTTTATTTGGAGGTATCAATAGGAACCCATTTTTCAAGCGAGGTTGTTGTTATTGTTGTTAGTTGCGAAGTCGTGTCCGACCTATCGTGACCCCATGGACAATGTTCCCCCAGGCCTTCCTGTCTTCTACCATCCTCTGAAGTCCATTTAAGCTCACGCAGACTGCTTCAGTGACTCCATCCAGCCACCTCATTCTCTGTCGTCCCCTTCTTCTTTTGCCCTCAGTCATTCCCAGCATTAGGCTCTTCTCCAGTGAATCCTTCCTTCTCATTAGGTGGCCAAAGTATTTGAGTTTCATCTTCAGGATCTGGCCTTCTAAAGAGCAGTCAGGGTTGATCTCCTCTAGGACTGACTGGTTTGATCACCTTGCAGTCCAAGGGACTCAGAGGAATTCAAGGGAGGTAAACATACTGTTTTGAAATTTTTCAGGTTTGTGCGTGATCTATGCATTTGTAATGGTTCATTGGAAAGTAATATGCTGGAGTGGGAGGCTGTTATCTTATAATGGGGTAGCTTTTTTGTCTAGTTTAGTGATGGAACTGCCTTTAGGAAGAAATCATTATCTGGATGGTTTAAAAAGGATGTCTCTATCGAGATTGATTGAAAATTTGTTCCAGATGCAGAGAATGCAAATACTGTGATATGCATTAGATGGAATGAAAAAAATTGCAGGGGTTTTAGTCACATGGCTTGGCACTTTGTCCTTATTAGAAAACCAACAATGAATAACAGGGATTTGACAAGCTGCGGCAAACTTATATGAACAATTAATCGGTGAACTGATGCAATGTTTTACATTTGCTAGGGCTTATTGGTACTCTAATGTATCTTAGCTCACTAACCATCACCCATAGCCAAGAACGTTGGCAGCTTACAAATTAATTTAGGAGAGTAGATAAAGTCTTCAGCAATAACCCACTAAAAGCCATCACTTATTGGTGCATACTATTATGAAATGCTACAAATCTCTCCTTAGGGAAGAGAAAAACAAGGCCAGTAAGGGTATGTGAATATCATAGATTGATGGAGTTAAGAATTCCTTTGTTTGTGCTTCACAGCTATAGATCTAAAAAAAGTCTTTACCAAATCCTATTAAAGAGGTCCCAATTGACACTTATGAGGAACACTTTCAAATATTAAATACTGTGGTGGAACAAAAATTTCTATAGGATGCTATCTCCTTTGCTATGCTGCACTTTTGGCCACTGGTCTGTCTCTTAGAACAGATTAAATGTATAGAATCTCTTAGGTTAGGAAAGGCTCCAAGCT